CACTCGGCCAACGAGGCAGTCGTAACGAGCCATAAAATTATGATTGTATAATTATTATTTATTTGGAATAATGTAAAAGTACGAGGTTTATAATAGCGTAGTTAATCTTTAATTTATTTATCCCTGTATTTCCGTAGTTCAGAATTACTTTACTTTTATAGTTAGCTATGAAACTCCACAGTGCAAATGAAAATGCACGAACTATTTTATTGTATATCTTGTTGCAACTTCACGAACTCAGTAAATAAATAAATAAGAACTATTACGTGTGTGTATCTTTTATGCTTATTATCCAATATTTATCCCTTTTATATGAAATGTATAACGCCTTGGTTTTATGACTGTAATGTTATACTATTTAATTGATATAAAAAAATAAATAATAAATAAATGAAGGCTGTAGGAATGAAACATTAAGCTAAAACCATTGATTCATTGATTGATTGTGGTAATTTAAAATTAATAAATCTTAATACAACGTAAACGTGGAATTTATGTTATTCACTAAGTAAATACCTATATATTTACTTGATTTGTTGATAACAAAAGAACATTGTCTCAACCGATGAGCTTGCATGAAAATACTGATGACTGTTGATGAAGCGCAAGAGGTATGTAAGAATCATAGCAATTGGCGTTCCGTAGTCTTTGCCGCGGAGGACTTAACGGGTTGCCGGGGCTTCGGTTCCAAGTGCAGGAGTAGGAACGAGGTCGTTTTTAGTCAGTAAGAGTCTGACACTCCTAACCACCTCACTCCACCGGAAGAAGTCATTCGATTACATGCCATCCTAAAAAAAATCTTTACCTACCCCCTTGAGAGACAGGAGTGAGGTTATGAATGTATTAGATATTTAAAGAACGAATTCCTTCTAAAAGAGTACGACTTGCTAGTCTTTGATTATAGATCTCCTAAACACAACATCGAGTGTCGTAAACAAAATAATAACAGGCGTTTCGTATAATTATTACGAGCCTATGAAGCGACAACATTTTAAAACTTTCATACAATTTACTTCAACGCCTTTGGTCGTGTAGTAACACTCTCTGATGAATTAAAATTCCACTTACCAAGCGTGGAAACCCTCTCATGTGGAGGAGCTCCGTAATCCATCAGTGGTCTTTCATTGGCTGTTGATGACGATGATGAAGACGCCTTTGAGAGTTTCCACCTTTCAGTATAGTGCGGCGCAATGCCATCGAAAAATGCTCAGGCGTTCTAGTAAATGGTATCCTATTTTATTTGATGTAGTTCAGTTTTGCAACAAGCTTTAATTTTTCGATAGGCGTCATGTTTAATTATGGAGGTATTCAGACATGACATTGACAATAACAGTATTAACTCGTCGAGTCACCGGTGACCGCAACCTATTGTTCTATAATTGTGTCTACAAAACCGGTACTCGACGAGTTAAATAGTATAGCATAAGTTGATTTTTAGGAGATGTTATTAACATGCTTATGAAAAACTTTACCTTCCATTGGAAGCTACTACATTGTTATGCATTTTAGACATACGTGACTATTATTTTGAAAATCATTATAATAAAATAGAAGCCATATCTACATGATTTGAACAACTAACCCTGGTCATTTCACTTCTGATAATTATGGCTATCGTAGATATAATTGGGTTGTGTCCAGGGTATCAAAATTAAAAAACCAATTAGTCTACCAATTAGATAATGAAAAAAATATTAGACACGTATTTTTTATTTTCTCATATTAAGTTGCAATACTTAGATAAAATGACGCTAAGTGCGAGGTCGTTACACCATAACGTGCTACAAAATGTAACACGCTGTGACGTCACACGATATTTCAAAATAATATATCGTCGAAAGTATTTAATTTTGTGGGAAACTAAAAAATACGTATCTAAAGTTTTAAATTAATGTACCAGACGGACATTAAAATAAAATTTAGGAAACTAGGAATTTAGGAAACCCTATTATTGGACCCGATCAAGGGTAGAGATAATGGTTAACCTTTTTAAATAGAGAAAGCCCATAGTTCGCAGTAGAGAATTTCATGAGCTATTGATTCTATTTGTTGTCACTGGCATGTGTCAATTTCGTTTTTCCCTTTTTTTTAAACTTTGTCACACACAGGATTTTCTCCTGAGTCATAGGTACGTTTACAAACATACACAATGACACCCAGACCCGAAACAACAATTTGTGGAACACACAAAGTCTTGCTCCGTGCGGGAATCGAACCCGCCACACGGTGCGCGGCAGCTAGTTGCCCAGCCATCGCGCCAACTCTGCAGTCAGTTTAAAAATAATGTAATTAGTCACAAAAATATTATTACATTGGTATTTTTATAGTCATCTAAATTTAGACAAACTCATCTCATCTGACTCCCAAATTCACAAATACACATTCGACGAATAAATAATAAAATAAACATTACATAAATTATTATGTACATTATAATTATCTAATAGGAAGAGATAAACTATATTTAATTCAGTGTAATGCTAGGAATTTAGTGTTCAAGAACAAATCGTGACTGTCAGCGTAAGATCCGGTAAGCGATCACTAAGTCATCTTCAGTTTTATAGGGGTACACTGGCGTGCATTAGATTTAATAAAGGAAGGTATATTACACCGCTAAATATGACTCTTATATCTTGTCCTGAAGAGGCAGGTACACATATATACTATATCAAATCCACTTTCAACCAGATATTTCACGAGTCCATAATATCAAGTACGAGTTTCCAAAAATAACAATAATTCTTTCATAAATCATGTTTAAAAAAATGTTTTCAACACTTTTCTGAAAATCGCATCGAAATCGGTTCAGCCAATCGTGAGATAATCGCGCACAAACATGCATACATACATACAAACATATGTACATACAAGTCAAATTGAGAACCTCGTTTTATGAAATCGGTTAAAAACACTGTGTTTTATATACACTTTGAAATTTTACAAACTCCAACATCATTGCAGTAGTAATGCCATAAATTGTAACTAGGTACAATCTCACCAAATAAACCTGCAAGTAAGTGTACATTAAACGGAATCAATACAATATAATGGATCACGACTGTTCAGCTCAATGATGCGAGAATAAACTGCGATTAACATCTATTGGGCTTTGAATCACAATTATTAGATTTACTAGTTATTGTATGTTTATTGTAGAACTATAGATACTTTAATTAATCTAATTTAACGATTAGGTATATACATTTCAACTTCCCAGTTTGTTCTTGATTCTAGTTTTTTTTTATGAAATAAACGAGTGGAGGAGCAGACGGATCACCTGATAGTAAGCATCGCCGCTCATAGACACCTGAAACACCAGGGGTGTTACAAGTGCGTTACCGGCCTATTGGGGGTTAGGAATTTGAGATTTTTTGGGGATTTTGGGATTGGGGAGGAGGGTAATTGTGCCTCCGATAACCCCACTCCTACGACAAAATGCAACGTAGTGTTGTTTCACGTCGGTTTTCTGTGAAGCCGTGGTATCACTCCGGTCGAGCCAGCTCATTCTTGCCGAAGCATGGCTCTCCCACACTTACTTAGTTCATGACACACTCACATTTAGACAAACTAATAAATAAAAATAAACACTTGTAGTCAAAATGGTGGTTAATAATAAAAATACATAATTATATTTATTGGTTTTTTAAAATGCAACAATTAATTGTCTGGTTCTCCTTTATTTACCAAATATAGTAGGAAACTAAAGCAAGCAATATATTCCACAAACGGTGTTTTCATTAAGTAATAAACTTACTATTATGTAAGTTCAAAATATCACTCAAACAGCTTTCTATAACTAAAATCTCCTAAAATAAAACATCAAGTTACATGGTATAATTTAATTTAATTTCATATATAATAAAAACCGTCTAGCCATATATTTTATTAGTCATCATAGAAAAAAGAAGGAAAAATTACGCAAGAGACCTCTCTTTGACATTCTACCTCAGGTCATATTTACTAACACGAGAGGTAAAAGGTCATCGATAATAACATGCATTCCCACTGAGAACTCATATTGATATATTATGTACTTACCTCCTACAAATATCTTTAGTGTTGGCCAAATAATTACATCACAAAATTTGCGATACATTCGACCACCTAACAATCCGTCACGCACAATTTTGTGACTCACATTAAAAAGTATGAGAACACTCAGACCTTTTAACGATTGCTATGACAATCCTCAATTCGAGTGCAATATCGGTAATCGATTAGTCATAACAGTTTATCTGTATCGATGTAACCGAATTGTCTGATTGCAACTCGATTGAATTCCATCACTAGACCGCTACCGAGTTATAATATTTGATCGTTGCAAAAGTTTTTAATTTGTTTATTGCAAAATTATTGAGATGTTTGCTTGCATGATTTTGATTCTTTCGTGGGAAGCTGGAAACTTTATTAAAGTCATAAAAGCTAATGATATTGATGAATTTGTATCTAGATAGTCTGCAATAAAGCAATGTTGATAAATTGTTTCTAAACTTTTTAAAGATTGCAGCACTCGTCTATTTTATAAAATCGAACAATTGCATTGTCTGATGAATGTGTTCTACTATGATTCGTTGTTCATTTTCAAAAATCAACGAGTTTCCATTGTTTCAATATCAAATGAATGGTTTTGGTTCATTATTTCGCTTTACTTTCGAAATATCGGAATGATACTTATCAGTGAACTGATTGTTGGTTGTTTGTCTCCTCAAACGACCATCTTTGT